ACGAGGCCCGTAACATCAGGAAGTCATTCATATCCCCAGTCTGTATAGCACTGTTCACCTTAGCTCCCAACTAGTAACGTGTCCCTTTCTAAAGCTCCTTCATTATTTTTTTAAATGAGCGTTGCGGAACCGTGTCAGAAACCGACTGTGATGGCTCTCTCACCGCTTTGTTCCCAATATGCTTCAATACATTATATCATACACACACTGTTTGCCAGCTAAACACCGTCTCACGCGAGCTGGCTACGAAATGATGTGCGCTTCAACCACGATATTTTGAACCGACCACTTACCCCTTACCCCTCCTACCATGCTTTGCAGACGCTCACAGAACTAGCAGTTAGATTGGTGGGGGCACCATTCAGCTAATGCGTGTCGCTCAGATACATACATGGCCGCGCCCGTTAGCACCGACCACATGTTGCAATTTCCTAATATTTCCACCTGAAAGTGGATTCTCCTTTTTGAAATTTAGTGGTGCCGCCTCTGTTCGCCAATTAAAGGTTGCACCACTTCTTGCTTGGTGTCCTTACTGGTCGCAGTCTAACGTATGCACTGGTGCGCTTTGGTGGATGCTTTAGGTCGCTTCTCAAATCTTGAGTCATCGATGTAGAAACGGCCGGAGTATTGCCTCGTCCGTGTTGCAGAAACAAAGCACGTTGAGCCCTCAAGAGATCCAAGGATATCGTTGCTCCATAATGGTCTTTGCCGGAATTCCTTCGACAATCCTTAGTACCCTAACAACTAACCCGGCCAAGACGTCCGTGTATGCGGCTGTCCGTGAACCCAAGTACGACGCCGTGATGGCGGGACCCGACTACCCACTCAGTCTGATGGCTTGTTCGTAGTTCAACAGTTCCACGACAGCTTGCAATATACGCCCGCGTAAACAACTGAAGTTGTGCCGAAAGGCCCAACTACTGACTCTCTTATTGTACTGTTCAAAATTTCTGCACGTAGATCCGTCAATAACTTCCGTGGAGCTACCGGGATGTCACTATACAGGTGAAGATGGAATCCCGAAAGGCCAACAACTGACTCTCTTATTGTACTGTTCAAAAGTTCTGCACGTAGATCCGTCAATAACTTCCGTGGAGCTACCGGGATGTCACTATACAGGTGAAGATGGAATCTCAGAATAAAACCGCTGCGCTTATGGTTTGGTCGGCCTGGTGGGATGCCCGCCGCAAAGAGTGCGAGACATTTTTTCACGTAAGTCGCGAATGTGTGCTCGATTGTGAGTGTGTGCGGAGGCGCAATTATTGCCCACACGCCTGAAAAATTCCTTTAAGTCCAAAACAGGAAAAACATGCGAAGGAGGCAAATTTTCAACAGAATTTTACACTCCCTCATTGGATAAACTTGCTGGGACATGATAGTCAATTAAAATACGAACTCTGCGCTCAAAGTATTCCCTGAGTAAGTTTAAATTACAGCAAGCCATCTGAGTAGTTCTAACTATTTCGTATAAATACCATCAAATTATGGCTTCCGATCAGTTTGATCAGGTTGAGACATTGATGGTTTCATAGTTCACAGGGTAGACAGTGGTGGTAGGACGGTGCATGCAGTGCTCAAACAGCGTACTTTTTGTTTTTGGACTAGATAATCCTGTAAGCTTACGGCTCATTAATGAGCAAGATGTACAGCTTTACCCTGCCAGTTACGACGTTGCAACCAAGTTTCCCAGGTCTGCTTTGTTCTCGCCTTTCAGCGCATGCTGTTCACTTAAAAGACACAAGCGAAAAAATGGTGTAGCACTGTCCTTTAAGTTCTCAGCGTGCAGCAATAAGCTTGCCATTACGATGACTTGCACATGGTGTCTAACCATGATTTGAACTGGGTTATAGAAGGATCGCAGACAACGGTCGAAGGACGGTTACTCCAAGCGGCAGCTACCCGAAATCAGAAAGAATTGCCTACTGCAAGTGTGCGCTATGAGCTTGGAAATCTCATCATTCTCGGTCAATGGTGAAACGACTGTTGGCCAAACCTCGCTCAATCAGGGCATGAGTAAGCATTAGGTTTAGTCGGAGGCGACGATACTCCAAGGGGACGATTTCAAGCGCTCCAAAACGCATTTCATAGTCCACGGATTTTAGACGAGCAACCATTTTCCTAGCAGCTCGCTGAAAACGCTCAATGAGGATTACGTCCCTCTTGTGTCCTGCGTAGACAACGTGGTTTGAAACATTCAAAATGTGGCTTGACATAGTCCTTATTGAGTATTTGAGAGTCCATGTGAGTGGTGCGGGAGAAGGTGCGCCGGATCATCCGTAGGACGGCAAATGCCTTTTAGGCCGACTTCTCATCGTGCAATGAGGACTTGTTTGAAAAGAGTCAGATAGTAAAATCCGTTTTGGCACCCACCCTCGTGAGGTCTTCCATCCTATTCTCACTAAGCACGGCGAAGGCTTTCGCTGAGCCTCCTCCGAATGACATATGGAGAAAAATTTCGTCATTCAGAGAAAGATGCCAGTCCAACGACCACTGCTCTGCGGAGCATCCATACATTTGGAGGGTACTGATATTATAACTCTGGGATTTCGATTTGTCCGCAAAATAGACATGAACTTGTATGAGCATCTTGGACGTCGCTGACGAAAAAAATGGCAGTGGTCCCGAAATGGGCCTTACGGAGCTCCTATCGAGACCAACGCCGCAAAAGTGCAGGTTGAGCCTACTTTCACACAATGCTCTGCTTAACAAGAACGCCTTAATCCAAAGTAGAGTTATCCTTTTAATCCAGTAAAACTTGAGTTTGTGAAGCAACGGGATGTGTGAAACCAGTTTGAATGTTTTTTACATGTCGAAAAATATGGCAATTGATATGGGTTCCTCGTCGTTGGCTTGGATTAAGCTCTCCATAAGTACGAGCATACTCGCCACGCAAAAACGGTTCGGAGAAATCCGTGCTGAACTGGAGATATCAATTTGTTGGAAGAAAGTTGATCTAGAATGGATCGCTTCAGAATGCGTTCCGCCATCTTGCACAACATCTTAGTGAGGATAATATACCTGCAGCTTCAGGACGATATTAGGCCACCGGTTTTGTATATCAACGTGACAATCGCTTTCTTCCAACAAGATGGAAGCAAGCCTTTCTCAAGCGACTGAAGAAACAATGGGTAGAAATATTTCGCTAGTGTGAGCGACGTTTCCTTCAGGATCCTTGGATGGACCTCGTCTGGACCCATTAGAACAAGTACCTTGTGCAAGGGGCGGACGATACCTTCCACCGTAAAAACCAAGTCGGTTAGAGGCCACTTGCGGTGACGCCTTGGCAAGATTGAATATGAAGAGGACGCTTGGGATTTGGTGATTCTTATGTAGGTTGCTGACTATAGTTGCCTTTCTTTTGTGTTCGCGTGGGCCTTCGAGTTGCCCGCGATCAGCGTGTTTAACACAATGTGCGAAGAAATTTCAGGTTCAGTGTTGTGAGTCTTGTAGCTTTGGTTGTTGGGGTTGTGGCGGTGACCGTGTCCACAACCGAAGAGACAGCTTCTGAAGGAATGGAGCTGAAGTTTGACAGTTCCACGTTCTCAGTGGTTGTAGGGTTCTCGCCTCATCCCTAGATGTTGAGGTCAACGCCCACGGTTGATATGTCGGTAGGTCTCAGCGCATGTCTCCGCACGTCTGATCCAGCCCATTTCAAAAGTTTTGACTCAGGTGCGGAGTTCACTTTTGGGCCTTCATCGTCTGTTACGCATGATAACACACTATGATTGCACTACGTAATTTGGTTGCTGCGTCCACGCGAAACTCGAGCACCGCTGCCTTTGGCAGCGGGAGGTCTGTGGTGGTTGATTAATCCGGAGTCTCGGCCGGTTGCGTTGGTATGCTTTCAGGTGCAAAGTGGCTATAAGTGTGGGGTCATTGAACTGACACCAAGCGGAAGTGTGTTTCGCACCTTCACCCTAGAACTTCTGTGGTCCAGCTTTCGCGACTATAGAGGGCGATCATCGGATATACGCCAGATCGTTGGGTGGGCCTTTTGAATTTTGACAAACCGATCTAGGTTCTTCTGTGTGGCAGATGGTGTCGTTTAAAGCAATTTGTGTTTCGTTGTAGGTGAGGACACCACCAAAGAGCGACTTCTCCTGCTACGGTGGCGTGGTTTTCCTGGAGAACAACACCCTAGCCTGCTCTCACTCATGCACCCGTCCACCACAGACGTTGTGGTGATCTTAGGCACCGCATCACAGAGCTGTGCGACCTTCTTTGCAGCCGGAGGATCCGGGATAGATAGCGCAAAGCACCCGTTCAGGGAAGTAAGTTGATTATCATTTTTCGTCCACGTCGCTATGTTTTCGTGTTGTTGTCCTCCATAGCTTTAAAAAGCAATGCCTGTCCAGTCTCCCTGTTAAGGCATAGCATTCGCACTGATCTTTCTGATTTCGTTTTTGATGGCTCTGTTTTTAGTTGCGGAATGCTCTGCACCTTTAAGGTAGGGGCAGATGGTCCAGACAATGGGGTTAGGAGAGTTGACCATTTGGCTTTCCTGGTTATCCTGTAAACAAACTCATTTAAATTGCCTCCAGGCCTTGCAGGTGTTGGATCGCGTACTACGTCTGACGTTCGACGGACACCCATTCCTCCAATATCTGTTCTGGTCCATCGACGGCTGTAGAGACCGGTCTGCGTTGACATGGGTCACGATGGAGACCGGGTGCACCCCAGGAACTAAGTGCAAAATGACAAGGGTTATCACGCAAGTGTTAAGTTAGAGTGAAAAGTCAATAAACAACACCTGCAATCTCTGTAAATAAATTGAACCGCGAAAGAATTCTTTCACAAATTTACACGAGGGAAAATCGATACATATTTCGTATCGTGCGCTAATATGTCGTTAAAGAGAGAGGTTGTCGATTGAGGATAATCATAATTTCATCGTTTCGCTATCTGCATACATGTTCCCGTGGGTACTTAACTTGTAGAACATAATAACGTTTTATCTCGCACTATCAGTCTTCGGTCACTGTGTTTTACTGCCTTCACGACGAGGATCTCAGCTGGGTTTACTTATTTAAATAGGTTTGCTGTAACCGCTTCGCCAAAACGTCGCGTAAGGATGCAGGTCGAGCCACTGAAATCTCTGCAGCAAAAGATAATAAACGATGAAGCCAATCGATCTTTCACGAAGAAACACTTGACAAATAGGATTGTTGACCAGTATGCCGACAAGAAAACTTCCTTTGGTGGTTCGCTCGCACAGTGCGTCAGTCACAGTAAGTCGGCTTCCAAATGACTAGATACTTTCTTCCCGTTGAGACAACTGCAGGGACGGTTGCCTCTGCTTACGGCTGAACTGATGTGAAATCTTTGCGCAATCACGATCTGGGGGCACAATTTTTCATCGCTTGTAGTTTTCTATTCCCGAATTTGAACTTCTGTTGGAGGATTTGCATATTACTGGGGCATACTGGCCGGAAGGTCTACTAAGGAAGCACGCGTCATGGCACCCTCATATGTACGGTTTTATTACAGCTTTTGCGCTTTCAGAGTCATGTAGGACTGCCAACCAAGTTCTTGGACAAACGATTGAGAACTTTTCTGATGGGCTGATGGTATTACCCCAGCCATTAGCGAGATGGCTGCGTCGGAGCGGAAGGTCTGGGGTTCGAACCCGACCTCTGACTCTCGACTTCCCCTATCTAGGTTTTAGCAACCTGGCTGTGTCCCAGCCCTCGTGTTTCTTCGGGTGATATGGTAGCTAGTCACCGAAATGGTGTTACAGCTGTACGATATTACCACAACCTTAAAAATTTGAAATCGACGTAGTGCAAAAGTACGTGAACGTTGCCATGAGTAAGTTGGCATCCTTAACCGTGTATCTCAGCCGAGACAGACAGTTGCAACAATCGCTTGTATAGTTTAGGAATCCACAACGAGTGTGCCTCACTGGGGTGCGCAGACAATAATGTGAGTCCGGTTACAAAATGGAGACGGGAATTCCGCACGCATCTTTGATGGAAACTTGCTACTTATAGCGTGCATATTAGTATAAAATGAGGGAATACAGATTCGAAAAAATGAAAAATTGAAAGGTTGTGGCAATAGCGATATCCGTGATGAGTTACGTATGACTGTGGCTGCCTGCCTTTGTAACTTCCACCTTCCTTAAAACATTCGAGAGTGTCGTTAAAACGTATTAGAACCATCTACCAATATCTGATTTGACTAAACAGATTTTGTTGCTGTTGCATGGAAATCACCTGTTAATGGTACAGATATTCAAAGATTGGCTTTAGAAAATTTATGGTTTGACAGTGGGATATAGAAAGTATTCGACCTAGTGAATAAGGCGCTGCTACCTAGATGCTTTCTCAGACCAGAAGCCTTCACCCGTCAGATAAAGACAGTTGACCACCAAGCATGCTTCGCTATGTTAACTGGTTACCTGCGGGACTCCACACGACACTCCACTCTCAACCTAACTCGATATATTTTGGATGCATTATGCAGCCAACCAGCCTGTTGTTAGATGGTTGTTTCCCTCTAGGGAGGAAGACGACTCCAGGTTGTACACATCAGTCTGTTGTCACCAATACAAAATGCCCAACAATGCTGGAGTAGCCAAGCCAGTGCAAAGTCATGACTGTCTAGTGGGCTGTTCCTTTCGGCCAGTCCACATCATTCATGATCTTGAATTTGCACAGTTTAATTTACACATCCATCAGCTGTCAGAAATGGCATGCTTCTGGGAGCCAACACATATATGAGAGCTCAGGAGAGCATCCCTCTCAGGCACGATCAGAAAGCGCAGTAGCAGGCTGCTGCTGCAGTGGCAATTAATGATATGTCAACCATGTCAATCATAACATTCTTATAAGGAGAGTTCTGAATCTCTGCACAAAGTGGTGGGGCCAAAACACAGCTGCTATCGTCTTCACCATAGACGATACACAAGTAGTCATACAATTTGATGGCGAGTTTGAAAGACAGCTGCAGCCCGAATGATCACCGGTAAGCTTCATGGCAGACTGGAATCAGTGTCCAATGCAAGTAGCGTAGGGCAGCACCGTTGAAAAAGACTAAAGCATGTACTTGATCAGTAGTTGATAGTGACGCTTGCTTGGGATGTGCCGGGGCTCAAAGCTGGAAAGGGAACACCTCGTGCTCATGCTCATATAGGCTAAGCCATCGTCCCTTATCTGTGTGGAGCTCATGATAACATATTCGTGTCTGTTCAATCAAAGCTCCGTATTAAGGTGACTAATGACTGACCTCTTGAGGGCTTAGTGAATATCGCACTCCATCTACTTATGTTCATCTATTCATGTAAGGATCTGAACAATGAATGATACATTTGTTTTCAGTATCGGACGTCGCAGACGGGATATAATTCAGGCTGATGAAATTGCTGACATTGCACTACGCGGATCGATGACATACCCATCTGGACGCACCTTCCTTTCATTTTGGCATAACATGATATCTCTATGCTTTGAGCAACTTGTCTGTCGTACCGTTCAAAAACGTTTAGTACCGTTTTAATGAAAACGAATTAGGAGGATACCGTTTTCCCCGTCCATTTTACACTCGGTGACCCTCGAACAAACTGGATACTGAGGTTCCAAAGTAGTTGGAGCATTTTTCGAAGGTTTCGTTATAGAATTTGCATGCATCAGTTACCACGTTCTTCTCTGATGCTTACTGACTTACTGATCGCATGTTCATAGATATCCCCAGGGTCGGGGTGAGCATGTCTTGTGTCAACGGCCTTCCTCCTTTCTAAAAAATCTCGCAGCCTGAATGGCAGATGAACAGATTCCGTTCGGTTAGCTTTAATGCGTCGCCAGTCCCGCAATCATTTATTTGAAAGTCAGTGTCTGTCGGTGCTCACTGCAGTGAACTGAGGTTGTCCGTCTAGAATAATAAAGTCTGCTCAACATAAGGTTTGAGAGACAAAACACAGGTTTGTTCTTCGGCGAGCCCTGCCCCGTTTGTGTTTTTCAGATCGCTTTAGGTTGGATCGACAATCTGTTCATTGAAATGTTTATCTAGTTTGTGCACTTTGGAGAGAACAACTGCCCTCTACTAAAACTTTGAGAAGATTCACGCAAGCGTGATAACCACTTTCCATCGACAGTGGGTATCCATCGAAAAAATTTCGTTTCTTTGGCTCAGGCTTCAATATATATATATATATATGNTATACATCTGAATGACGACCCTGACAGCTTTAATGTAGCATAAATGGGAAAAGGAATGAATGCTAGTCAAGTGGACTGCTTTGATGTTAATTTTTACCCTCAGAAGTGACATGAGAACATCCACTCGGTGATCGTAAATCTAATGAGTCCTCTTCACAGGTTGGTCGATTATTGCGAAATGTGTCTGGTCGTAGTTAGTGGCGTGGTGGCCATGTTTTTATTTTGAGATGGGCTCTAACGCAGCATACTTCCTGCAACGGTAGCCAGTAGCGATGCCCGTCTTGTACTATCTCTTTCACCTCTCCCGCTTCCGGACGGGTTTACTTCATTATCTCACACGGTACATATCTTTAATTATATCACTTGCGGCTCCTGTATCTTACCATTCTTCCTAGTGTTATTTTGAGATGGGCTCTAACGCAGCATACTTCCTGCAACGGTAGCCAGTAGCGATGCCCGTCTTGTACTATCTCTTTCACCTCTCCCGCTTCCGCACGGGTTTACTTCATTATCTCACACGGTACATATCTTTAATTATATCACTTGCGGCTCGTGTATCTTACCATTCTTCGTAGTGTTTTGACACGACACTTGAAACCATTCTGTTTGCCTCTTACGCCTCGAGGGCGTGGCAGGTCGAAATGCTATTTGGTCATCCATACGCTGGCGCACTCATGGATTGGATTCTTCAAAAGCATACATTGTTTCGATTAGTGAAGATAATACTGCAGCGAGTTGTTGATGCCATGATGATAACAATCTTCATCCGCGTGATGGGGCTTACATTTCATACCAGCAAAATATGAACTGTCACTAGACTTGGGAATCCAAACCTTTCGTTATGGCTGCACACTAACAGCTGGCGCAGACAGCCAATGGGTTTTGATTAACCGTCGAAAGTAAAATGGTTTCTTCAACCGGAAAAACAAGACCAACTCTCCAATATCTGTGGCATCGGATTAACATTGGCCATCGACCGTGGAGAATACACTATTCCGTAGCACCGTTAAACTCAGTGCAGTTAATTTCATGATTCAGGTAGCAAACTGCCGGTCACTTTTAGTATTAGCTCGACACGCTATTTTTTATCCCATCAATAACCGCCTTTAAGTTACCGAAAAAAATTGCTATGCTACTGTGTTTTTATCCGTTTGAAGCATTTTCTGATTACTTTGATCGGTATCATACTGTCATGAAGTCTCCTGTTTTTTTTTCATTGGACGGGCTAGGTATGCTCATTGTATTGAGGCTTCAAGATGAATGTAGCGATTTTCGTATGCTATCCGTCGACTATTCTGAGTGACAGGATGTACGTAACTGGGTTTAGGTTACTTCATTTGTTTGATAATTTCACAATTTCGGGAACCGCCATCACTCAAAGCCAGATGTGAAAGTGAATGTGTTTTCCCAGAAAACTAACAGGAACGTTGTCTTTCCTGCTAATTCTCTCCAGATGCTCGTAATCCGCGGTGCATCCTTCCTCGCGCTTGTGATTTGGATGCTTACGAAGCTTTCCGGGAGTTCTTCGACGCCGTTATTATAGACTACCATAAGGTGAGCTACTTAATCGGCCTAATACCCTCGTGTTTCACCAAACGTTTCCAGCTTGTACGTTGAGGTTCACCGGCTAAAATTTATGGTACTTAATTATTTCAATCTTTTTATTAAGGTGAAAGGAGACAAAATAACTCATCCCAAGTCAAATTTTGGTGATCTGAATTCCTTGAACTTCAAAGATTTGAACGCAGATGGTAATATGGTTGTTTCCACTCGTGTGCGACTTGGGCGTACCGTGGCCGGGTATGGATTCTGCCCCACTATTTCCAATGAGCAGAGGCTTGAGTTGGAGAAGAAGGCAAGTGTAATCTGATTCCTATCAATCGTTGTTGGAACGTGCTTTTTCCCTTCTGCAGACTTATTATGTGGCTTCGAAGCTACAAATCTGTGGAGAGGATAATTGGAAATTTGTTGATTTTAGATATTTAACACTAGACACTTGGTGGCGTAAGGTGCTTTCTTCAATTAGTGCTGTAAAGTCTGTATTTTTGTCTGTACTTCACCGTTAGTAGACATGTGTCGTACTGTATTATGTTGGGCTGACTCGTGTTGATTTTTATCTATTTCACTAAAGGCTACAAATTGATCTACGTACTACCCGTCTTAACATTGTGAGCATCCGGAGTGCTAGACTTGGTGCAGTGCTAGAAGCGACTTCCGTGACTACCGTCGTACGAATCAGGCCAGTGGTTGACTGGCACTACCCAGTATTATCCATTGTATGCCTCGGGTGTGTCTTTTGAGTGAGTTTGCACGTAATATGGGCTCTCACTGTTCAGTCAGCTCATTTGCCTACTATAGACCATCAGTTGGGCCTGTCTATGGATTTATCTCCCTACCCACTCTCCGGTCTCATCCTCACTGGTTTTCAGCGAGAGGTAGGTGTTCGTTTACTTGCACACGTCTCTGGTGGCACTGCATATGACATTACCCACCCTGCGCCGGGATCCATGGCTTTTTGGTGTGACAGGTAAACCCGGTAACCGACACCAGTTAGAAACCACGCCTCATAGTTGCAAAAGGTGGTTTTCTGTCAAAAGGGGTGCCAGCGACCTCCAATCTGTCAAGCCTCTTCAATTTAACTTGTGCTTGAGTTAATGATCTGTTTTTGAATACTGCACATATTCCGGAAACTTGGACTTAAGACCAATAGCCTCCAAGTGAATCACCATTTGTTCGATCTTTGAGTCAATGAAGAATGAGGCACTCGGCACCAACGTTTGTGTTAACCGTAGGAAGCACAATGATATACTATCGGGTCGGTGAAACCTGAACAGATGGAATTGCGAATTCAGGACTGGTTTCGAACGACGAACTATATAATCAGGAGCTCGAGTCCTCGTCCTTTTGCTATCTTGTGCCATCTTGCCTTGTGCACTTACACTGGCTATAGCTGCCGCAGCCTTACCCACTGACGATCTGGGAGAATAAAATGGAATAGCTGCGCATCTTTGTTGCATGGAGTCAGAGGGTAGAAGTGGGATTTCCATTCGGAAGTTCAGGTAGAAGCTATTAATTAACGGCGATCGGTTGGATGCATGGGTGCCGCCGAGCGTGCAATCGGATTGTGCTTTCCAATTTCCCTATCCGTTGGTATGTCCACTCTCGAAGTCTTCATCCGGGGATGCAACGATGACCAACGCTACCGAGTGTGCTAGAAACGACTTTCCTCCTTCGCTACCAACTTCGCCTCCCGTAGTTATTCTCTACTCTGCTTGGTCGTACGAGTTCGGGCATAAAATGGTGTATTGCAGATCATTTGCCAATTCGGCCATTTTCTGGCACGTGCGGCGACTGTCCACCGAATTCCCGGATTCACTACACGACCTGTCATTTAGGACTCTTGTTACGCTTACTTTTGATAGATACACGATCTTGTGTGCCAATCAACCTGTCCTTACCGTTGTAATTTCTTCATTCATTCAAAGATTTCCACAGCACTAAAAAATTTGACCGGCGAATACAAGGGCACTTACTACCCGTTGACTGGGATGAAGGAAGAAGATCGTAAGAAGCTGGTGGAGAAGCACTTTCTTTTCCGCGACGATGACAGGTTCGTTTTTATGTCAATCCATGTTCTTGTACTGCTCGTAACATTTCACTGGAGCACAACGAGGTGCCTTTTTACTGTGCGGTTTAAGTTCATGAGTTCGTATATCCTACCACGTTTACTTATTTCCCGAACACCTAAAGGGGCTTTCCAGAGTGACCTCTGGGAGGTGGTCTCCTGAGGACTATCTATATGGAGAACGACAACCGTAGTTCATAGTTATTTCTTAAAAGAACTTTCTCTGCTTGATGAACAAACTGGGTCGTTCAGAACCGATCCAAAACGAGTTGATAAAATCCAATGATATCCGTTGAATACTACTGAGGTTTCCCGGTGCCTTAGAATACAACACTGAGTGGGCACAAGCACGATGATAGATGTGCTTTCTTGATGCAGTTCTATCCATGATGGTGGTAGTCTCTTCGCTAGTGGAAGGCACGTTCACTGTTAAGTTATGATTATTTTCAACACCGATTTCAAACCATCGTGTTGAAGATAATATATTCGATGCTTTATATGAAAATAGTGCAGAAAACGTTTTTCAGTTCGCTGTTCACTGATGCAGATTGATTGAATATTAACCGAATACTCTACGGTTTCAAATGCATACCATCTGTGTTCCACAGTCCTCTTCTTTTTCGTGTTGTGTTCAACCTCAGTTCGTCAGGAGGTCCTTTTTTTACCCATATTGATGGATAGAGAGCAACAAACCCGTTCAAAATCAGCTTTATACCGGAGTGATCATCGCATAAAACCTCGATTGTTTTAACTTTTGTTCTCGTGGAATCTACTCCTAATTCCCCCTCTCTTTAGGGTATCCGAGCTGGAATTAACACAGCAGGTGGAAAAAGAGCTACTGTCCATGAGATCCGTGGTTCGGACCCGAACCCGGCTTATTTGTAGCCTCTGCTTAAACTCGGGTTTCATTCTGGCAGCATGACAGCAATGAGCCGAAATAATAATAGTGGTAAAAGTCGTTTTGCTGTATTTCCCTTTTATCACACGACTGCCGTGCTACCCGAAAGCAGCACGCGCTTAGATACTGCCAGATTGTCAAAGCCTAGACAGGAGCAGTGGAGAGGCAGAGTTCGTGTTCGAACCACGGACCTTCTGGTCACTTAGTTCGCGACCTAACCACTGAGCCATCTCGAGCCAAAAGAATATTACAGCTGAAAAAAACAGTCAATGAGTACCCAGTTTCCATCGGTTGAACAGCTTTTGTTCCTCTTTGTCTCTCTCTATTGGTACGAAATCAGCCTAACAAAATGTTTGAACTGTTAATAACTACTTTGAAGAGATCAATATAAGGAATAATTTATCATCTGCTCACTCTCAGCGTGTTGCGCGATGCCGGTGGTTACATCGACTGGCCGAATGGACGTGGGATATTCATCAACGACAAAGAAAATTTCCTGGTTTGGATAAATGAGGAGGATCATATCCGTGTGATTTCTATGCAAAAGGGTGGGGATCTGATAGCCGTTTACAAACGTCTCGCAAACGTAAGTGCTATATCCAGTCTTGTCTTGTTTTAAATGTTGATTTATCAACGCTATCAAATATTTTGAACCGCTCTCAAGCTAGAAATCATCTGTAAGGTAGTTGGCGCGGAAATCTTTTGATGGAATAAAATAAGCTTAAAAATCATCACCCTGGAAGCGCGGTGGTGCTTGTTTTACCACTCCTACTGTTTTGCCTGGTCTTTGATGGAACCCTTTCAGGCTCACACGGGAGAGACTGCAGCTGTCCACGGTACTGTAATTGCCAGTTGTGGTTATCAGGCTTAGTTCTAAAACTTCATTTTGGTGAACTAGGCCGTTTACAATTCCTCTAAACGAGTTGAATCACTACCATCTGAAATGCGTTTATAGACCACATCGCCTATCAAATATTATCTCTTCAGACACATGTATGTTCTTAACGGACTTAAACTTGCTTCGGGTGACGTTGCTGCTGGAATACCGGTAGTTTGGTGCTGTCTACTCAGCCATCTCTATAAAAGACGACGCTCCGGTAGTTTGGTGCTGTCTACTCAGCCATCTCTATAAAAGACGGCACTCTTCTGCACCATTAAGTTTAGGAATTCACCAGCCACGATGAGTGAAGATATCCATGTAGATGCGCGGCATGTTTATGTTCGTTGAATTAATGAACGCCGCTTACTCGTGCAGCTACACAACAGCAGGTAGTAGCGGGTTGAATAAGTGAAGACGTGTGCTTCAAAGTCAACAAGAATATCTCCTACTCACATAGCTTCTCAACTGCATCGGTGTCCTTCCAGCAGTTGTTTCATTTCGTCCCTTGACTTTATTTTTCTAATCTTTGCAACCAATTTTTCATGATTGTTTGCGCGCATTTACGATATAATCTGGAAAAATGTCGATGTACTGCTGTTCTTTTTCAGGCGATTTCAGAATTGGGCAAGACACTGACTTTCGCGACCAGTGATCGATTTGGTTTTATCACCTTCTGTCCCTCCAATCTGGGGACTACTCTTCGCGCCAGTGTGCATGCTCGTGTCCCCTACCTGTCAGCTCTGCCGAATTTCGAGGTGAGATATCAAAACAAGCTCCACTTGAAGGAGTTTTCAAACTTTTTAGGATTACTGTTGCACGTAGCATTTCGATTATTTCTGAACAACCTAACAGGTGTCCATACTGCCGTGCAAAAAAGTGAGCCAGTTTTTTTTCTTTTAGCAAATATGTGAAAAATACAACATTCAGGCCCGAGGTACTCATGGTGAACACACCGCGTCTGTGGGTGGTGTCTACGATTTGAGTAACAAACGCCGTCTCGGTCTGACTGAGATTGAAGCCGTCACGGAGATGTACAATGGTGTTCAAGCCCTCCTTGATCTTGAAAAGCAGTTGGCTGATTACAACAAGGACGCTCCTGGTGGGTTTTGCTTTACTTTATTATTCTATTTCTCATGAGAATTCGTCGCCCTTATCGTCACCAGCAACCATGCATGAGTATTACTTGCCGATGCCCACTGGGCATGCAGTCACACCAGAGGCCCGTCGACAAATTCCCTCCTGTTGTAGCCACAACTCTAATTGGTGCATCATTCGATGCCAAGTAAAACCGGGTGTTCGCACAGATCGAGAATCTTGATGAATTGGAAAGGCTGAAAAACTAACAGAAGCGAAGAAAGCTGGTTTTTCCACGTGACTCATCCAACATGTTCTGGGAATCCTCTTAATTTCGAAGCTGTCTGCGTAGTAACTCTCTGAGATCTAGCACAAAAGGAGCGTTTGGGCCGTTGGACGCAGTACTTAGAACAATAGTACAATTGGCCACTGGCTACTTCTCATCTTGGCTGTCGGCCTTTGACAGAAATATGGAATATGTATATGGGCGCCATTTAGCCTCAAGTGGTTAGAGCGCGAATTTACTGACCGGAAGGATCGTGGTTCGAATCCGACCCCCGCTTCTCGACTTCCCCTGTCTAGGCCTGGGCAGTCTGGCAGTATCTCAGCCCTCGTGCTTCCTTCGCGTAGCATGGCAGCTAGGCACCGGAAGGGCGCTACAGCTGAACGCTTTATTTCTTTCTTTTAGCCTCAAACGTGTCCGGGTGTACATCCATACGAAAAATGATTGTGGTCCTAGTCTCGGCTGTTTTCAAGAGTTGTGGTGGATCTCCCAGTTTGTGGCTGCTTTAACTATTTGTGTTTATCTAGGATGTGATCGGCAAGGATACCCACTTCCATTTTCGTTCAGCCTCGTCATCTGCGAAATGGTGGTAAAACTGTAGGAAATCCTGATGTTCATATTTCTTTCGGCAAGAATCTCATCGGCCTGGATTGCACAGAGCACATCGTTCCGATCTGTGAAGTTGAGGACGAAGGACAAACACTGTGGAGTAAACTGTCTGCCACCACCATGTTACAGTAAGCGCCTTGCATGTACAAGGTGCCAAGTCCTACTTCGGAATATTCCACCTCTGAACATACCCCCTGCTATTCAAGGGGAAGCACTGGAGGTCATGGAATATTATACATACCTCGGTAGTTGTATTACCTCCGACGGAAATTTGTCCGATAAAATCACTTGACGAATCGTGTATGCCAAGTTTCGTCATTTGTGGCCTTTACTACGCATATCACTGGGCCCTACGGGCCCTGTAAATTACGGTATGGTATGGGTTGTGTTACTGTACGGCTACGAGATATGACACCTACGGACAGACAACTTGAACCGTCTTTTGGTTTCCGACCGCCAATATATCCACTGGAAGGAAGCATGAGGGTTGAGATACTTCTAGGCTGCCCAAACCTAGACATGAGTAGTCAAGATGCTGGGGTTGAGTTGGAACGATAAACTTTCTGACTAGTAAGTTCGAACTACTGAGATATCTCGAGCTCACTTATTGTGGTGACTGAACCTCCACCCATTTTTTCAGGACAAGTTGTACAGTGCACAATCAGTGGAAATGTATCGAGGTCTTTGGTGATGAGTTACGTCGAAAACTTGAAATTGGCTGACCTATGTGCTGTGCGATTCTGCTTATCAACCTAAAACAACATGCGTTTTCGTAGGCTGAAGTCATATAATATCTTTTGATCCGTATCACAAGCTCCAAGCTTCCTTCGTACCGACCGTTAATGTGGAAATACATTATAACCAATTTTTTTCGGAAATATTTTGTTTACGCAACTGCGAACCCCTTAGGCTACCAGAGTTCACATTCACGCCACTAGTTTGGACAGTTCTGTCATAGTAATTAATCATTCGCTTGAGCAAACCATTTTGTGGTTAAGACAATCGTAACCTACTTGTTTCAGACCCTCCAATCGAAAAGAAGAACCTAGGAACTCGTCTCTTTTCGCATTAGAGTCCTTTGACGTCTAATGTTGATGGCTGTGTGTTTGCCTTTACCCTTCATTTGTCATTGATTTCCGATGAATTACATGGACTCGTACACCCTTGTTACCACACCAATCATGTAAATCCCATGTACTGTGCATTCTACAGCTGGTGTTATGCCGGTTGAACCGCTTCCCTATCTGAGCCGCCTTTTGGAAGCTGCGGACCCAGTGAAGAACTACACTCGCAAACATTTGACTCCGGAAGTCATTAAGAAATACGATGGCGTACGCACTACGCACGGTGCCACTGTTGCACACATGGTTCGTAACGGTAAGTTATGCATGAACACACTGTTGGATTGACACTTTGGTACTATGAGGGGGTTTGTTCTGTTCAGACTTCAGAATTGGACTGTGGCACACATGAAATACTGAGCGCAGTTCCGATTGAGAAGGTCTTGTCGCAGTACCTGTTTTTGCTTTACACCACTTTAAGTAACGGCTAGTACTATTCATCAGTTGCTAGTGATTGATCCAGAGGTAAGGTAGCAACCAATGTACAATGACTGTCATCAACTTGCTCACCTAACTTCATGTGTCGGCTGATAGTAATTCTGCATTAAAAATAAGGAGCCACTTACTCCCAGTTGTTCGTTCCCAGTTATACTACCACCACAAAAATTCTGAATACTCTAAGGTTTCCAGTTCATATCACACCATATTTCCATCGTTAATAATTTATTGAACATGGTACATTATTAACATTACTATAAACACGTTCTGGCACGGAGTCTGCTGAGAGGCATACGTATGATGGGCTGACGTCCGTTTTCGGATTGAACCGTCACACCGAACATGGTGTTCTATAGTTAGCCGTGATTGGACTGGATTCCGTTGACACGATATAGCTAACTGAAAGTCACATCTAGCACCGTCGCGAGCTCAGTGCACCGAATTGCTTAGTATGCTGGGGTAGGTTTTGGTGTTTACGCCGATGGTCACAGAAAGTCACTTATAACAATGTTGCAAGTTCAGCTACCTGATAAACTCAGAATGCTAAGACAGATATGATAAACTGACTTCATCTACCAACGTTTTAACGGTGGTGTTGCATTGAACGTCATCGAAAAATGCCACAGACCCTGTGATTCTCAGGGCTTTAACAAATATGCCTCTGATCAGACTTAATTCGAAAGCCTGTCCCCGGTTCACCAGTGATGAGTAGCTCATCCACTTACAACTATTCGTGTAGTTTATGTCGACTGCACAACTCGGTGACTATCTTAACCGAGCTTTTATTCGATCGGGCACTAAGAAAATCACTGACAGTGCAATCGGCTGTGTACTGAAAACCGACCATCTGCACAGTCTGGGTACGTCGTTTGAGATTGTTTACCGTGTTCCCGTACACAAATTCAGGGTCGGAAGACGTCTTTCACCAGCCACGGTTGAGGCTGTTGTCAGGAAACTCAGCCGACCTGCAATTTGCTTACCAAAGAGTCAGGTTCAGGTTCCCAGACTTCTCTGGTCTAGAACACTGCCCCCTTTCCCATAGTCTAACCAAAACCAACCTCAGAATCCCGCAAGCTCCCATCCACACATTTAGCCGGGAGTCACAACAGATGAATACAACGTAGTCGCACCACGCCTCTGTTTTCCGCCTTAAATTTTGTCACATTTTGCTGTATTGGTCCACCGAGAGCTCATCGAAAGCGATTGTCTTTTTCATGTTTTACGATTATATATNTATATATATAGGCTGGTTGGCATAGTTTCAGTGGCATAACGACGCTAATTGTAGGGCTGGCAGTCCACCGTAGGATATTCACATATCCCGTGATTGGAGACAGGCCATCTAACACCGGATAGTGTTGTTCTCCATAAGTGGTCGATTTGGTAGCTAGGGTGTGATCAAACGGTTGGTTTCTTGGACTTAACGCACTTCGCACGAAGATACTGAAGTCTCTTCAACCGCGCAATACCGGTTTCACCCTTCTTGGGGATCATCAGGTAGACACAGTCGAAGTTTCCCTCAACTTTATGTTCCACTTGAACCCAAATTGGATGAATTCTGACAAGTATTGGTTTGCACAGGAATTCAGTTTTGACTGCAAACTCAACTGAATTAAGCCAATTCTTGTTTACGATGGTCTGCACCAGACCTCTTGTTTCAATTGGTACGATATTGGAAATATTGCGTTAAATCGTCTAGACGTACTGCACCACTCTTAAGGTTGCTGAAAACTCTTGGATAGCTCACGATCCGTTTCTCCATTCCTGGGGCTCACCAGGTAAGCATTTTACTAGAGTTTCGAAGGTTAAATAAATGCGTAGGTGAAATAATCTAAAACAGTCACTTAACTGAGACTGACACTTGAATAAATCTCTCGCCTGTCGTGCTTTCCAGCTGAATATGCGGCGCAAACGGTGCCTCTTGGTTCAGGAAATCAGATCTTGGAGTACAGACGACCGGTTACTTCGTTGGGTTTAATGCACACGAATTTCTAGCCATATCAGACACTTGGGAGCATCAGAAAATCAACCTGTTAGTCTGCAAAGCCTGCGTGCCCGACCGTCACATTCCTTTCTTTCTATCTTATTAGCTACTCTGGTGAATGTGCATGATATTTTAAGGCGTCACACGAGTAATTAGTCATTAGGTTAAAGTCATGCATTCCGGACGTCTCATCGACTGGGGTTAGTGGCTGTTGATTCTTCGCCAGCATCGTTTTCGGAATAATGTCACGAACCTAAACTTATCTTTTGCTGGTTGTCAGGTGCTTACAACCCACATTCAATCTGTCCGCGTACGGGAGAAGCTGAATGCTATACAAAGTTTGTCGACTACCTGGATGCTGTGATTTTGGACTATCATGGAGTGAATGATCCAGCTTTCAAACACCCACCGCCAACTTTCGGGGACTTGAACAATCTACCCTTTGGTGACGTCGACCCTGAAGGTACTTCAGTTTCTGCTGTTGAGATGCTATTTTTCCTTGTTGTTTAACAAAAATTTCAACAATTCTACCATACATCAATGAAGGGAACTTTAGGCCTCATTGATACACTAATTCTATTGTGGATACCAGTGAGCCGTTAACTTTAGTCTAGCTCGTAGCAGAACACGGCCTACTTTATTTTGATATGATATGCGGTAGGAGCGTCTCGATTTACTGTCACCCCAGGTGGATCCTTTTTTTCTCGCCTTACCCCTAGTAATGCACTGCGTTATAGTCACGAGGCCACATAGTTCCGGCGAACGGATATCTCTTGTTCGGAATTTTGGAAAACATGTTAGACTGAATTACTCTATAGATTTTAAATCCACAGATATTCCATAACCCCACACCAAGCCTAATACTTTGTTTACTCACTTTCTTCCTCACCAAGGCAAATTTGTGGTGTCTACGCGTGTTCGGGTTGGTCGCAGTGTCGATGGATTCCTATTCTCAACCATTATGAGCAAGCAGGATCGTTTGGATTTGGAAACAAAAGTTTCAACCGCCCTCAAAAGTCTCACAGGTGAACATGCCGGTTCCTACCATCCGCTGGCTAACATGTCTGAAGCCACCAGGAAACAGCTCGTGGAAGACCATTTCTTGTTCAAAAATGACGATCCGTAAGCTAATTTTTCAAGCCAAATTCATCCTGTTTTATTCATTTTGGTTATTTGATTTCTGACTCAGCATCACCACAGGGGAACACCGCAGTTGTAAGAAAGCCTGCGAGGTCAGGTTTCGATCTACGTGGATGTGTAGTGCAGGGTGTGATATACACGAATGACGGGGTGTTACTAGTAATTGGAGGTGAACTAATTTAAAACCATCATGTGACCCTGTCAGGCTGTCAGTGACCCTAGCTAGACATTCAACCGGTTGTAGTTTAGAGGAGGTAGATTCATTTATGTAAACCCATTGTATGAAATGAAATGCAGGCCACGGAACGGAATAGTGTTGATACAGATCTGAATCAATTTAATGGTGTGTTGTTTCGGGTTGTTAGAATATGAAGAAAAGGAAGAATCGTCAAAAAGAGTGGTGTTCTGGTGGTTCGGATAAAAAAAACGAGGAAAGGAGCGCAGAAGGTCAACATGTAAAGGATAACTTTAGAGACAAACGTGGGTGATACAGTGGTTACTGTGGCTGAAGGTTTGAGATAGAAGTGGTAATGTCTGCCGTGGTAGTCACTCAGTCGCTCAGCTGCAAAACATGTGCCAATTGTACGTGGTAATACTGACTGAATGAAGACCTGTGCCTATAGTGATCAGTGTACGGTGACAATCGGATGTCAATGGTGACAAGTACTCCAGAGTGAAATAAGTACTATGGGTTGGCTGGAATGGTGTCATAGAAGCACTTTGTGCAAGGGAGAGTTTGTTGGATAATAACCGTCCAAGCATAGCCAAAGATGGAATGTAGTCAGAACCCGTGAATGATCGAACTTCGAATGAAACACCAGGAGAAGTTAATATTTGGAGTGTTTGAATACTCAGTCGCAGCCACCGAGGAAAGTGAATCATCTAGAGCTCGAAATCACGAGGAATATTTTATTAGAATGAAAGGTCAAACTAGAGGGTGTATTCGAAGTGAACATTTAAAAACGTGAAGATTCAAGCGCGTCTGCTTTACTTGATGGGGTTTTGGGTTTGGGATAGGGCCAACTGAACCGAAGATGTGTGGCATGGATATCGAAGAATGAAAGATGGGAGCGAAAAGTAAGCAAACTTACCAACTCAACCCTCGAAATGAGGATGTCTTAAAGTTCCAGCTGAAATTTATTCCCGCAGGTGATATCTACCCATATAAAAAGGCTAAAAAGCGTGGTGCACCTCGTTTATTCTTGTTCAGAATCATAAATCTAGGCAAATTTCAACCTTTCACCTATACCTTGTAGGCATTCTGCTCAGGTTCAAAGAAACCCATGAATCTTCCTCCTAAGAAGTTATCAGTAGAAGAGCCATTCGATATAGGATCACGCAACAAAAATACTTGGTTGTTGGGTAAGCGTCACCGTTGCCCACTCAACTGCAAGCTAATTGCAGTCTTAGATTAATCTCCATAGCAATCTGTGGAATGAAGCAACTGTACTATGCCGTTAGGTGTGGGTTGATATCAGTTGAGGGATCAAACATGGATTGGGATCTATTCTGTCGCATTAGTTTGGTCCAAAACGCATCGCTTCCTCATGGATTTCATTTGGTTAAGCCGTACAAATGCAAGGTGTTTGGTTGTGCCAAGTCATCAGCTGTGCGACCATTTTTAGTGATGGTTGTTATCGGTAGCCTGTCACTTATTCACATTCCTCGATAACATTTATCCCCGCTGCCATTGTAACAGTGTGCTCCGTGACGCCGGTGGATATCGAGACTGGCCCCATGGACGTGGTATTTTCCACAATGCCAACAAGACCTTCTTGGTCTGGTTGTGTGAAGAAGACCACATGAGAATTATCTCTATGCAAAAGGGGGGAGATTTAGCAGCTGTGTACAAACGACTCATCCAGGTGAGTTTTACCTGTCAGCCACTATTTAGTATGTGGTATTTTCAACAAGAAGCTGCTACTGCTCTGTCTTCTTGGGTCTGTTGTTATAACCCCTCCCGAATTATTCTGTTCGGGTCCGGATGACCTTAGGATATCTTATCCTGGCGTTCCTTTCATGCTGTCATTTCTTTATCCTACATTTTCGATAATGACAAGTTATTGGAGTATGTTTAGCCGAACAGAGTCTATTGGCAGTTTTAGTTTTACTGAGCACGCCACTTAGAGTTACCATTCTAGGCAAGGCATATCTTTTCAGGTTCTCATTTTCCCTCCCCTATGTGGTCGTGTGACGGGTTTTTGGCAATCCAATGTGCCCTTCATCGCTAGTGACTCGGTTATTTTCTGTGGGCTGAGACCGAATCTTGCCTGCTATGTTCGCTAGCTTAACTTGCTTGAGATTTTTCAGCTTAATTTTCGAAGAATGTGCACTGATTATCGGAATAGATAACGATACGTTATGTGAAGACATTCATATTGATCGAATTGGAGTCTTTGGAATGGTACTCCATCATATTATTCACTTAGCAAATGCGTCTCCCACCATATTTTTCTGTTTCATGCTTCCACTATTATTCTATCGCCTCTGGCTAATTTAAAGAGACCTCAATTCACCACAATTCACTTTCGTCACGTGCTGACAACTGAAAAATGAGCATAAAAGGGCCACTAGCCGTAGTACGAATTGGTAGCTTACATTGCTGAGTTTTTCGGGACTGATTCACGTTTGTTTCTCATTGGCCATCATTGATAGTCGTTCTTTCCACATTCTTTGATGCAACACACCGAATCATAGCGCAGATTGTTCTAACGGGTGGTAAAAGTATGTTGTGGGAACAGATTACACGTTTTGAACCAGCCGATTGCCAAAAGACGACTCGCGGCAGTAGCCGAAAATGTTTTTGAGGCGACTGGAACCGTCATTTGGGTCAGTGTTTATATTCACCTGGGCGTTCACGTTTTACTCCCGCTTCTTCTCGAGCAGAGGATGACAGGTTGGCATAAAGCTGAGACATCAGGGCAGCTGACATCAATTGCTGCCTATGTTACTCATGTTGTTTCTGCTGTCAGCTTTTTGTCCCAGTTGTCTAAGTTATCACCTGGAGGTGTAAATTCTTCAGATGTTTGCGTAGCCATCACCAGATCCTTTTTATTCCTTCTGTTGCTTGAGTTTATCTGACTAAATTGGCATGGTTCTATGACTGGAGCCCCTGCCGATGATGATGACGATGAGTCCGACCAAGGAAAACCTCTTAGACTTGGAATTGCTCTACACTTTGGAACACTACTTTTGCACGACGTTCATCTAAACCCCATGGTCTCCGTCTAAAATTGTGCTCACTTGAGGAGCGAGTCAACATCACACTCTAAGTGAACTACTTAAGTGAAGGATAAATGGCGCTATACTCAGTATGGGTGCTTGATAACCAGGCATCTGATCCGCCGCCCGGTTGCCAAATAGAGCCGGTAACTACCAAAAAGGTTGGGAGTTTAAATCTTCCTAAAAACTGGCCGACTACGGGGCTCTGATGGTCTCAAGCTGGCCGAAACAGCTCTACTTTGTCCAACACATTTTGATTTCGTTTGCACGATACAATCCTGACATTGGTAACATGACCTTAAAGCCACTGGTAGTCCACTTTTGGATGGATTCTTTATGCGTCTTCTTGCGTTATCCTTGCCCTAAAACCCACCCATCCCTTCTTTTGTTCAGGGTATTCAAGCCATCGAAAAGACACTACCATTTGCACACAGTGATAAGTATGGTTATATAACCTGTTGCCCGAGTAATTTGGGAACCACAATGCGCGCTAGCGTTTTGCTCAAGATTCCCAAGCTGAGTGCACAAAAAGCCAAGCTGGATGAAGTCTGCGCCAAATACCGTCTACAAGCTCGGGGTAAGCTACAAATTATTTCACTTCAGGAGCTTAATATTCCCGTGCTAATTTGTCCACACTGTCTTCTTCAGACTACAGTAGAGAACCACTTTTCTGGCTCTGCGCGCCAATTTTCAATAGCTCAGAGGTCAAACGCCAAACATTTGTGAGGGTTGGCGTGGGTAGTTGATCCGTTTCATCCGTATGCCACCACAACAGATGTGCATATCCCGGTAACCAATGAAACATCTCATAGGTTCATGTTAGCCCCCATTCTGGGGGAGGCCATCACCATTCAATATCATTACGCATTGTACGCATCTGGGCGGTCAAAATTTCGACCACGAAAACGTTGATCTCACTGCGAATCGGTTACCGACGTTTCGAAGTTCGGGTATTCAACTCTGCTGTCATGTCAAAACTCATACATCTTGCATGTATTTCGGCTCCCGTGTTTTCTTCAGGCTATGTGACAGACATTCACCGAATTGATGCTAACATGTGATTCTCCCTGTTTTTCGTAGGTCTCCACGGAGAACACACTGAATCGCCAGAAGGCATTCACGATATCAGTAACAAACGACGTCTTGGTTTGACCGAGTTGGAAGCTGCCAAGGAAATGGCCGACGGTGTCGCTCAAATGATTGCTATTGAAAAATCCTTGCCATAAGGCTCGCTACCCGATTGGTGATGCCCAGAGCTGTTACCCGTACCACAATCGACCTCCGGATTCGCTTCAGTGACTTTGGACAGCAGCGTATCTAGATAACCCTCCTAGTTTACCAGACTCTTATCTCTGTTCACCCTATTTTGTTCATTTTTGCCCTAGACCGGTTGAAATAAGCAAAATATTTAGCGGATCTTTTCTCTCTCATTCGACTCTCGCAGTATTTGGGTGCAACCGAGCTCTCTGGGAATCGTCTTTTAGTTTTTGGCGGTCTAAATTGGGTTACGTCATTTTTAACTAAGGCTTACTGACATGAAGTCACAATGCATTGAATGTGGAGATTTGCTAAATTTCAGCGATATAACCTACGTTCGGTGCGGAGTTATGGTGAGGAGACTTCATTCTGAGCGTAGGATATTACCCACTTGCTCAGTTTACTGCCCACGCACTGGCAGTCCCACTTAGTCCATCAAAATATAATATAATCGAAATCGAATATAATCGAAATCAGCTTGCGGTCACTAGCATCGTGTCTCAAGGAGAGTCACGTTGGACTCTTTCTTGACAGCAGATCAAAAGTTTATTGGTTCATGTCGTGTTTGAATAGGGTACGTAGTTGTGGCTTGCAGAAATACTGTACGATGACCGTCCACGACTCACACCGTGAAACCGATGAACGCGTACTGCGCTTGTGTGCTAATTAATGCAGTTTTAGTTTGTTTACTGACGTCCTTACAAAGGGTGTTTTCATGTAATAGGCTCAAATACTGACAGAACACTCGGCTTTATTGCACAAGACTGTTTCTATTAGTTATGGTCCCACCGAAGTGAGCAGTTACTGAATTTCTGGACTGCACCTTTTTCAAGCAGTAGTAACACATTTTGGAACGGTTTTATGGCAATTGTCGCTCCTTTAATGTATTTGTTATCCCGTCAGATCCGTCCACTGACACGTCTGTGTGTCTGACTTGCGTCTGTGACTGTGTCTGGTAGAAATATCAGCAATCCATTGGCTAGGCTCACGCCAGTTGTATGCCAGCCGGTGGGAGCAACTATGTGGACACGGGATAATGAAGATGGAACATCAGTTGTATTTTTTCGCCGATCAATAGGTAGTATCTGCACGGTGATAACTGTGCCTAAACAGGGTACCCGCGCTGTTTGAAAAGCACTTGCGCGTTGCATAGGCTTTTCTGTCTCTAGTCTATTTCACAACAAAATCTGGTGAATTCATCAGGCTCAGCACGGCGGGAAGTGGGCAAAAATGTACGCTGTTACAACGGTCTGTTGGTAGCCGGACCAGTTTCGAAGGCTATTTTCTAAGGCTGTTTTCGCGTTTCTCCGTGAATGTCTCGTTGACTTCGTAGTATCCCTAAGTGTGATTTATGTTCATAATTGATCACTCGCGATTATGAAATGAGAGATCGCATGATGTGCTATATTGGATGTGTGCAAAGGTAAATGCATGTGTACCTATCCGGGAAGTGACAAGGAGGAGCCTGGTTCCTTCAACATTTTTTCGCCGCTTATGCTTATTACGAAAGGATATTAAACAATTTACTGCGACCCACCACAAACGAAGATGTGGTACCGGTAACTCGGATAAGTACATGTGGTTACCGATCAACTAGGGAATAACCCATTCAACACCAAAGATAGCACCTAAAACGGGCTAGGCGCTGCTTTTAGAAAACTACGTGCGATACGAAGACATTAGTCAAACTCTGCTGTTGGTATTCTTGACGGTGACTTCCTACGGTAGTTGAATCTTCTGTAATTGGAAGAACTAATTTCGTAACATGATGGATCATCGCTCAACAATTTCCAAAGAATGCAATATTCGTTTGTTCAGTATTATTTCAGTTAAATCCTGCAGTAAATCTGCTTGTTTAAGGGCCATTTATGGACTCTAGGATGGCTTACTACATGATAGTTGTCGCTTTTTAAGGTACAAAACAAAATAATAGATTATCCTGTTAGGAGGCATTGAAAGCTTTTCATACGCATCTGATTTATGTCGGAAGAAGTCCGTAATTGAGTATACAGTTAGTAACCACCACCACTTTACTTTCTCTTGAAGCGGTCATTCCAGCTTAGATAAAATGTGCCTGCTACAAACACGAAAGTCAGGTATTCTTTTTTGTACGACGTTTCCTTAGGCGTCTATTTCACTTCAACCACTGTCTAATCCTAGCTAAGTGGTCTTATATTCGCCAGTAGACTATTCAGAATACAGACACAATCAAGGTCAACAGGACCAATCACGATAAAAACTTTAGTCAGGACAGACAAAGCGCAGATGCTGTTGTAGCATTTAAAATTAGACAGAAGGTACGTCTCTCAGTACGGTCACACGGACGGCTTTCATACTTGGTGTGAACACGTTACAAGCTATAGATCGAGCACCGGTATACCGCTCATTTCCAGTGGTCGACTTAATGCCGACTGTACCGCAGTTGTTCCGGCAAAATATGAATTTTTCTACGCATTTATTCGATCTATCGCTATTAAGGTTCTTATCTAATACAGTGCTCTCCCTCCCATGATCAGGAAGATGATTTTCTAATCATTAAATGGTATTCATTGTGATCCCTATCGACAAAGCATAGCTTCCATAACCTGAGCAGAGACCGCCTGCATCTCCTAGAGAGTTCACTGCCGAAGTACCGTATGCCACTCAGCAAGGTCATTTTGAGCGAATGACCACTCCGATGACTTTATCTTACACACGGCTGATACATTAATGCGCCATACTAATGGAATATTTTTTTATATATATGCATGGGGCTGTGTGAGCGTCCACTCGAAAAATGTATCAAACATAAAAAATCAGAAAATCGTTCAGCTGTAACACCCTTTCAGTGCCTAGATGTTATCCCACCCGAAGGAAGCACGAGGGTTGGGATACTGCCAGGTTGCCCAAGCCTGGACGGAGGAAATCGAGAGGCCGAGGTTGGGTTCGAAACACGGGCCTTTTAGTCACACAGCCCCGTGCATGGAGAACTTCACAGTTGAGTGACCGATTTAGGTTAGTGGGAGAGAGAATCCTACTATTTCTTAAGGTTTCCACAATAACTATTTTCATCGCTGTTTAAGAATGCGTTTCGTGACAGCTTATATTGTTTATGGATTCCTGATTACATTCAGCTGAATGAGAAAGCCACTAGTCCTGGATGAAGAAGGCTGGCGAATATCAGACATATCCATTGTGTTGTATCTGTATGCGGGACCTACTGGTGTGCAAGTGTGTTAGGGTCTGGAGCGTCTACTTCTGACGAGTGTGAAAATTTCTTATTCATTCCTCTCTTCAAGCAAGCTGTTGAAAAGAATCCCGATAAAACTGTACAAAGTGAACGATGCTGGTCTTGCCGACCATCCAATGATTGGGGAATATCTCCGTCGAGAGAACAGTCTGAAATCCATCTAAAGGGCATTTATATGTGGAAAATGTGAATTAAGAGAACTAGCAAGAAACGGAGAGAATGTGAATAGCCGGTTTCACTGGGGTGGTCACCATATCTTTCGTTTAGCTGTCCAACCGTTTCGGTGGCTAGCTGCTACGCCAGGATGCACGAGGGCTGCGGTAATTTCAGGTTGCCCAAACCTAGACAGTCGAGATGCTGAGGTTGTGTTCGAAACACAGACCTTTCGGTCCGTGAGAGGGCGGTTTAACCACCGAGCTATCTCGTCACCACATGGACTCAAGTCCACGGCTCTCTGAAGTGACGTTGTTCACAAGTGCGCTTTTGACTTCTCAGGGTATCGGTAGACTCCGGAAACTGTCAGTAATTAACGATGCACAAACAGGCATACATTGTTTACCTTGTTGCTTTGTCTCAAATTCACATGAACCCAGCCAATCACGACTCACTATACTGTCATGGGTGGGGCGCTGTTTAAGTCGGGTACAAGAGAATCAGTTTCAGCCGAACAACAGGATTGTGGAGAAGCCCATCGCTGGCGCTTTGTCTGGGTCAGCGGAATGTTGATGCGCTGGATCTCGCAGGATTGATATTTTCAGGCCCTCAATCACATCTGTCCATAGTAACGAGGTCCTTGTTTCGAAAGTTACTGTTTGCACTATCTGTTCAATTAGATGGACAGATGAACCAATTCAGGCGTACCTGTGAACGCCTTCCTCGCCATAGACACGATTGACCATTGATGCATGAAAACTGGACGGATTCTATGTTTAGAAAATTCGTACCGTTTTCTGCCGTCCAACAGACATTTGTTTGGATCGATTAATGATGAAAAACGCGTATTATCCACGAAAAAGCTGTTTATATCCCTTTGACGAAACACTGCCCACCTTTCTTTAGGCTAATCAGATCTTCGAGTTTCCGTTAACCTTACGTTCTTCTTATGCACAAATTCGTCAAATAAACCCCACCGAAAAGCCTTTTGTGTCTCCTTGAAATATGCCATGAAAGCGTTAGAAAACTGCCCGCTACTTGAAAAAAGAGAAGACTCGTTTACGGCTGCCCTAAGAATGGTAAAAAGTGTGTTATGGATAAATTGTAATAGTGCTAAAGATTTCGCATACATGCCTGAGTAGCTTCAGGTCTCTTGTCTATAACAGCATGAAAGGGCTTTTGAGCTCATTGGTCTGTGTTGATATTAGCTTTTGCGGGTAAGCTAAATTGCATTTTTGGCGGAGAAACGTTTGCTTGCTAATTGTCGAGTTCGGTGAAGCAACTGATCATCGGCAATTATCCACTGTTCGTACAGTCGAACGATTTAGATTTTCATTGATATGAGAACAAGAAAAAGCCTATTAACAAAACAGTTATTTCACCTATTCCGCTTATCTCGTTAGCTGTTTAAGTGCTCCCAAATCCAGGGTTAGTGCAGAATAACTTACAGATGATTTGACAGAAACACAGTGAGTCAGTCCCGGTGAAGATCTGATAGAAACAACAGGGCTGTATGCATGATTCGGCACCGACTTGATCGAGACAAGTTAGTCACATACCGCTTCGGCCAGTCTTGTTTTTTGCACTCGTTGCAGTCCATGAATTGGTGAGTGATTACACTGGATGGGACTTACAAGCTAAGTTCTTTGGGAGATGCCCAGAAATTTTTCTCGGTTACTCTGATGAGATAGACGAAATAGTCGAATTCAATTTTTCCTTGATTGCAGTCAAGCACCTACAGACCTGAATAGTAGCATCAGTCATTTTGGCTAAAAATGATTGTTTTTCTTCGATCCCTTGAATTAGCGAAACCCATGGGTTCGCCACTGTGTCCACCCACAACATTCATATGCAGCCATCACAAACAATTCTCGTGTGTCCAAACTGACGTTTGGATTCTCTCAAAGTCTTTGGTTAAAATCTATCGAACGCAAAGTCATACTTACGAGCATTCACTTGGTCACACTCCAGACTTTTCTATCGTTGTTATATTCACTCGAATTTTCTCAATTTTTCTGATTGCACAATTTATACGTTAGCTCAAGTTTCAATTTCATTAATCTAAATAGTAAGAAAGCGGTCTGAAACAACTAAGTATTCGTTGAAATCTCAGTTTGTCATTTGTTTGCCGAGCCATTTAGTACATGCCGTTTTGTGGACACAAATCTTTCACTCATTTCGCTCACTTCCCAGTACGCAGTCAGATAAAGTAAGTGCTTGTAGAGCGCAAATGATGAGATAACTTTCCCAAACAGCCCATTAATCATCTCAATCCGTAAAGTTAATTCAGCTGTCACTTTTATAAGCAGTTGCACATGAGAACGTTTTTAGCTATTATTGGTTTGTTACTGATGTAAAGATACTGGAATACACTGTGTTAGACAGGCATTGTCAACGGACAGTTTCGTGAGGGGGATGAGTGCTGCGCACATTGAATAAAGTTTCCTTCCGCCGTCAGAGGATTTGAAGAGAGGCAACTTATTTAGTGTAAAGCGATTGGAAGTATGACACCTTAGTATGAAGCAAAAATGAGGAATTTCGCACGCATTTTGGGCAGAAAATAGATGAGAAAATGTTGTCAATCGTTAGGTAGGTCGAAATTGCGGGAATCTGCATGGTGATGCCGTTGGTTCTGCCTACAAGATAAAGGACATGAGTGCAAATAATGGTGTATAACTAACAGGAAAAGCGGTAAACTCCCAGACCTGTGGATGAGTATAGATTTTGTTCGATTTTAGCCATATTGTAGGCACACGCACTACAACATTCCGAAAAGGACATATTTTTACGTTTAGATCATGTTGCCTCTGCAATGCTCTAAACAAAGGCTGCTTCTCTCGGAAGGTCGGTAACAGCATTTCCAACTAATCACGACCTTGTGTGTGATCAACAAAGGAAAGGCAAGCTCCCGTTAAATGATCAGTGTTCTGTGTCGCGACGTGATTCTTCTTTGAGGTGCCAGTGAAAATGAAATTCAGAATTGGCCTAATGTATTCAGAGGACAATTTTCATTACTATCATTTTTGTTGCACTACTATACTAAACATTCTAATGGCTACCCACCCAACATTTTAACCTTAAAGATGAAGACATCAGTAACTACAGGGTTAACTGAATACCGCTAGATTATCCATTAAAACTTTGATGGTGGGATATTGGGAGGCTTCTCGTAACAACTGCATGGTGGTATACTAGAAACAGTGCGGTATTACAGATGATGGCGGCAGCTAGATGATAAACAGGTAACTGATACTGATAACTGATAACTGATGGTTAATGTTATGCCATCGTTTTTAAGCAGACTGATGGATTGTTAGAATAACTCTGCAAGTTAGTCCGTCGGTCTTATTTCACGGGTTACCTTGGTCTTGCGTGCAGCACCAGATTCGACGCGGCGCATAACATCTGTCGCCTACTACCTCATGTAGGCCTAAATTGGCATGACCACTATTTACCGTCAAATCCGATTCAGATACCAAATCTTCATCTATTAGAATCAAAATGTGCGCAAATTTTCAAAAGCAATCCAAGATAATTTCATAAAGTAGACTACTCACAAGGTTGCTGAAAACTCTTCGACCTTGGAGTAGTTTCCTTTATGAAAATATACTGTGATATCTCGAATATCGTGCCAACTGAAACATGAGGCGGCCTGTGTACAGCACTTTCAGTTGTAGAATATCATAAACGAGAGATTCAGTTCAGTCTCTCGCAAGAACCAAATTGATTTGCAAATGAGTGTATTCTCCACTCCAAGATAGGTTTACACCAGTTTGGGTCAATTAACTGGGGTTAGCAAGATTGCCATATGGTAATATGAATGGTACGGTATTCTGTTTATTCGCCAATTTCGATTTGAAATCCTACATATTCTAGCTTACTATTTATATTAATTTCTGAAATGAAGAGTCTCCTCTCCATAGTAAGGTCTAGACGCATTTTCTAAGAGACTTGTATAGCAAAGGTCCTCCGGATGAAGCGTCGCTGAAATCCAAGTGCATACGTTGGTGTTTCTTGATAAGTTAGTTGGCTCCCTTGGTAAGACCTACGGAGGTTCACGATTAGAAAGTCAGGTGCTGACTATGAACAGTATAAATCATGAAGCACGAAACTAGCTAACTTTCACAAATTTAGATCCATTATTGTTACCACCATAACATCGCACCAAATGCGAATTCCTCTCTCACAAGCCTATTTTAGACCCTTTGTTTTTGCCATAATTCGTCGAGTGAAATTCGCTAGTGATAAAATATTCGCCCAACATTTACCGACTTTTATTCAATGGTGGCACGAGTGGTACTACCGCATGAGGTTAAATGACCTTCCAAGTAAACGGTGGCTATTGGTGTCCGACCAACTTCCTTCTGAACAAGGACAGATGTGCCCCCAAAACAGAACAAGGCCACAGAAGCCAAAAAATCCACTCACCGTGATGGTCGACCTCCCGGCGGATAAGTACGCCTCAGTTGATCATGTAAAAAGTGAGCGGTGTTTGAAAACGAATTTCGTCCTTAAAGATAATCATTGTTCATTCAGTACCCACTTTGTAGCCACACTGGTTCAATCGCCCGAAATCCCCAGTACGGGAAGTCATGATAAAGTGAAACGGGGCACATCGTATCTGTTACTGGACCATGGCTGCATACATTGTCTTTTACTGGATTGAAGCTATGACCTAAAACACCTTCTGAGAGGGATTGGCAAGCATCAAAATGAACAAGGAGATCCGGTTAGGGCACACAACGTATAAGTACAAGAAATAAGTTCCAAAAAGAAAGCCAGTCAAAATGATTTCAGTCTCTGGAGAGTAAAACTGACTCCCTGGTGTGGATCTGAGATACTAAGAGCACATCGTTCAACTGTAGCGCCCTTTCGGTGCCTAGCTGCCATGCCACCCGAAGGAAGCACGAGGGCTGGGATACTGTCAGGTTGCCCAAGCCTAGACAGGGGAAGTCGAGTGGCGGAGGTCGGGTTCGAACCACGAACCTTCCGGTCAGTAAATTCGCGCTCTAACCACTTGAGCCATCTCCGGAAGCCAATCGTTTCTGCATAATCGAAATTGTCTGACTGGATACAGGATTATTTCTGTTTTTAATACATGATACAATTCACTTCACACTATCCTGAGAAGTCCGCACTAAACTAAAGGTGAGGCTGACGAAGACGGTGAAGGAAATCCAAGTTAATCCATGCACATACCCATACGAGGAATATCGGAGTGATTGATTTAGAAAATGGACAACTTGTGAACAGGTGGTAAACTTATTAACTCTGTTAATAATCTGACAACCTAGAATGATTACCAGTGTTGTTTTGGTTAGAAATACTTTTTCATGGTTAAAAGGTGCTTTTTGGGTGCTTTCACTTCTACTCAGATTCGAACAGAACCTCTGAATTAATTCACGTAGCGACAGAAAACTTCGGCACCCTATCAACCAGTGCTACTCCATTAGTTAAATACAAATCTGTAGAAAGGCAATTCGGGTCGATCTAGGCCAATTCGCGTTTGTTTTCGTAAGTCATAAATGTGGAAAAACTTATCGACCTTTTAAAAGCGTGATTTCTTAGTATACCTCATGAATTGGATTTCCAAGAACATATGACTTCCCAAAAGCCGTGGTGTTAAACCTGAAAGTTTCCTTGTGGTGGAACTGAGAGTTAGCAGGCTTATGAGAGTAGGATTTGATTACGTTACTGATGAAGGGGAATGAGGTTGGCTCTGAAAGGCAGTGAGCTATGCTTTCCATCATCGTTGTGACGCGTAAAATGGATTTAGTAAGCCCGTATTGATAAGTCCTGATCAGTACTTATCAAGGCGCATTGGTTTAATCCACCCTTCTTTACGATTTAAAAGTAGTCTTTGGGTTGACACTACTGTAAAGACCAGATGTAGCTAGTGATTCCGGTCTCACTCAGTGTTTTCTTTGGTAAATTTCAAACCAGATTATATCAAAATGGCAACCTGCATGCTCATATGTTGGTTAGTTAAGTGGGATTGCTGCGTTCGTGCTATTTAGCCAAGAGCTCCCGTGTCGCCTCATTCATTCATGTATCTAAGTGACCTTTATCAGTCGATGTGTAGCGTGGTCAACTTGAATACCATGTGTGAATCGGTTTCTTGAACGTGCATTTTGCGCTTTCGGGTAAAGTTTAGGGTATCCCTCAACTCCATTTCTGTCATCTTGCTTAGTCTGCTTGCCACCAGTTATCAAGGATTATCGGGCAATGCCATGGTAATGATGAGTAGGTGAACAAGGTTGTAATAAAGGCAAATAAAACGAAAAACAAAAGAATACGAATAAACAAATGAAAAAGTTGTCTGTGTCATAGCAAAACTCACCACGACTTACTGAAGATACTTGAGATGGATCACTGATGACTAACGCTGGCTAGTATCCAAAGCACAATATCTGTATAAGTTAGGAGATGACGGTACACTTCTGTAACATTATAGGGAATGAACTGAACCAGTGAACTCTGCTATTGCATCCATTTGCTACATAGGTAACGCAACCCACAGACCAAATCGGCAGCCGAACTATGGCGTAAGGACTAAGACACTACCAAGTTGACCAACCATGGAGAAATGCAGTTAAAGTGCCAAGAATGAGCTCGAATTGCGCATACATTAGTCCGAATATCAAGCTGCATTCAACAGGTTGGGTAGAAATAAGGCAGTGAATTTTGTTCTCCGAAATTGTTCTCAGTAGTGGCAGTTGAAAATCGTCTCCACACTGCCAAATATCAAAATAATACTACCTGGAATACAATTACCACACCATAGGACTTAAGTTTGCACCTTATTGAGGAATTTCATCCTGTTAGGTTCTTTTAAACAATAATAAAGCAGCATTCCAAACGTGTATGAGGAAACTGTAGAGGTCTGTCGGCATCAGTAGGGTTCGGACCCTGTAAAAACATGAAGAATCGATGCCAGTATCTGAACTTTGACACTAGCTATCTAGAGGCATTCAAAAGAGCAAGCTTTGAACTTGAAATGCCAGTATTCTGAGGTGAGTATCTCAATTAGTGCAAAGTGAAGAACATAACTTGGCGAAATATCGGTGTGTTTCATACGTGCATGACCGACACGATTGTGTGCATCCCGATAATGTCTAGACAGTGTTCATAGTACGTGTGCGGTGCTGCCACATTGTACTATGAACACGACACGCACTGCGCTCTCGTTCATCGGAATCAGCTAGTTGTGCGCAAGTGCATGAAAGTATTGATTATCAAACTCCATTTTGAGATTTGAGACGCTTTGCGTGGGACAACCATGTGCAATACGTGGACAGCATGTTTTTTTCTGGTGTGCTCCAGATCACCTTGAAATAAGCTTTAAAGTTGTTGTCAATTAGCGAAAATGGATGACACAGTATGCCCCATCCAGTGTACCACATTTCACTGCTTATTCGTCCTCATTTTCCGCGCGCCACTTCCACCCTAGTGAAATCGAGGCTATTGATCCATTGATCGTTAGTTTTAGAAAACTTTTGATGTTTCCAAACAATTCAAAACTGCGTAACACATTTCTCCAAGAGAAATTCCAAAGGATAGCCCTCATCAATGTTCGCAGAATAAACTAACCGTGCTTAGCTCATCATTCAACTATATGAATTTCACGCAACGATGCGTTTGCTTACTGTCACATTACAAGAAATTGGTCGGCAAAATCTGTGGCACTGAACACAACCGTAAGCAATGAGTATTCAACGAAATGGATGGCTGAAGTTGCTCTTAACATCGTTTGGCTTTATATGGCTCACCAATGACATTACTTGTGGAACAAAGTTCTGTGCTTCTCATTTGAGACAGCGGAGTCGAAGGCGACTCTTCACTTAGACCGCTTCAGTCTTAAAAACGTGTCTCTTGAGAAGTATCACCGTTCGTGTTTTATCACTGTAGAAAGCTCCTCGACAGAGCTTTGTTTTCTAGTGGTTGTTGAAACACATCTTGCAGGATTTATGAATAAGTAGATCTTAATCAAACTTGAATAGCCGCGATCGCCAAGTAAACTACGCTGCTCACTTGTACTTAAAATGAAAAGGCAATTTTTCTGTTTTGTTTGTACCTAGCCACATTATTTTTTGAATGAGTGACCTAATTCTACATAAAACACCATGTGTACTGTTAGGAAATTCTTTTCAAACATATGTGATCTTTCTGACGAAACACACTGTCGCTAAGGTTGCTGAACAATGCTAGACAATTCACGACGCTTTCGTCCTTTTGAGGACTCATTAGGTAGACGCAGCTCATCAAACAGACATTCTAATTGGACATTGAATTGCGTGCAACTGGCAGATTACACTCACTTGCAAATTACCTTGGTGTTCACGAACAACTCAACTGATACCCGACAGAATCTCTAGTTTATGTCGTTCAACAAATTGTCGAATATCGTTCGGAGTAAAATATGAAGCACTACAAAAAGGGTTATACAGGGTTCCTAAGAATTTCCTTGCTAACAACGGGTATGATTTAGCCCACTATTCTAGGCGAGTTTTTAACAGTGAGTTCAGAATTGGAGGCAGAATGCATATTTCTTCCAGACGGGTGATTAGAAAGCCGTCTGGTTGGGAAAGGGCACTCCGTGCTTACTATAGACTGGGAATAGAAACATGCGTAGATGTGAATAACGCTGCTAAAATGGCTTCCTCCTTAAGACTAAACGATATAGACTTACAGTTGAAGCCTAATACTGGAAACGGGTTTACTCAGTTAGTCCATGACCAATATTCGACTGGTCAGATTATTGGGACGTGTTATTTATCATCACTCGATTCAGCTGGACGGTCACCTAAGGCATGCCTTGTCAACAAAAACCGGAACAGACCGACCTATCCGGATTAAATCTGATGAATAATCGCAGATACCCTCCAGGTTTTCAAGTCACAGAGGAGCGACAATTTTGAACAAGACGCAAACGAAATTCCTTAGTGTTTGATTCTACAAAACAATCGACTACGCATTCCGTTTGGATTGAGACTGAATCCAGTTTTTTAGCGTTTGTGTATGAGGTTAACCCCACATCACAACATTAAGTGGTCGACGATGTAAATGAGCTAATTTAAACAGATTTGCTTGACTTAGCACAAAGTTCGAAAATTTTTCTGGCTTCTTTCTATTGATGAACAACCAGAATCGTTGCACTTTTACATTGCTCGAAGATGATCTGATAACTATCAGTTCATGTGCTTGAAGTTCGGTAAGTGATATATTAAAACTGATTATCTGCTAATCAGAATCGACCATGACCACCGGTTATATTTCACTTAATGAATCAAATGTACGGAATTCTATAATTACGTCTTGCTTATCATGAAGTCCCCAGTGAGGTATTCGAAAAGTCAAGATAATCTCCTTCCGGTTAGATTCTCGAAAAAATTCTGCGCAAGTACCAAACCGTGAGAAATCCATCAGAAGATGCAATTTTCTAACGGATCAGATCAAAGCAAACCGGTAGTGGGCTGTCAAACAGCCAGGGTTTGTTTCAAGTAGTGATGTGTCGATGGATGGGAGACAAGTTTTCCGATTTTGGTAGGCTTAAACTGCGTTTGTAACGATGCAACCGCATTAAATTTTTTAGGTCAAGTTTATCACTGCACATACACTGAGCTGTTGCGCCTCATAATATCGTTGCGGCCAGTTTAACTGCCCACTTCAAACGCTTTCCTGAAATCTTAGCAGAACCTACGTTGATTCCTCCATACAGACTACCTCAGTTTTCTAGAGAACTGTGTTCTTGAGATTTCGTTCCAGTGTAAGAAATCAGGACAGTCTGCTAATTCTTACTTGTCTTTCAGCAAATACTAGTTCGGGAAGCCATAAAAAACTGATCAAATCTCACCCACTTGTCATTCCACCTGCCCATTAATCCTCAAGTTCCATGTAGCGGTAGCCATAAAAGTCGATGTTAATTGTATGACGTAATTATTAGTTTCCCTATTCCTCAGAATAATTCATTACCTTTCCGGTTTCGCCGCAACGACCGTTCGTCGTTGAGTTAGACTCAACCTTAGCTGTGAGATAAGACAACTAGATCGTCAATTTAGGCCCGTTAA